AGGTCTGTCTAACAAAGCAGGTTCAACTTGCAGCTTCCCAAAACCTAACACAGCCGCGATTATCTGCAGTTTAAATCGTAACTTTTTAGAACCCCAAACAAGCATCCAATCATCAGCAATACAATAATATACTTAAATACAGAATAAAAATATAGCATTAATATAACATATATGTACAATATAATGTACAATATAATCAGCCAGTTATACATTTATAGAATTTAGGCAGATCGTGGTAGTCATTATCACTGGTTAAACTCTTACTGTCAGAATTTTATGGAACATTAACCAGCAAAATCCTGCTAAAGGCCTCCAAGGCCAGAGCTGGCCCTGACTCCAGAAGAGCGGATGAGCAACATTCAGATGATGCTGAGTTAAGGCCTTTTTACAGCAGCTACAAAATGATGCGATTTTTATGTGGTTGAAACACCAAAACACGTTCTGTTGTCATTCACTGTCACTCCCCAGCTATTCAGCTACAATTGTATGCAAAAGTTTTGCCACCCTGATCAAATCACGTTTAGTTGATTTTCTAAGTGAAAATAAGACTCTATTCTCTATTTAGAACAGACGCCATTTTAATGCACAATCACTGTTTATTTACTGAGTTTAACATATTAGGGGAAAAATAAAATGTAAAAAGAGGCCTATGGAAAAATTCTGCCACATTTTATAAGTTATGAGTTTATATGTTAAACTCTGCAAATAAGTATAAAGCAGGGAAAAGAAAGAAAGAAAGAAAGAAAAAGAAAGAAAGAAAGAAAGAAAGAAAAAGAAAGGAGAACGTGAGAAAGCAAGAAAAAAAGGAAGAAAGAATGAAAGAAACAAGAAAGAAAGAAAGAAAGAAAGAAACAAAGAAGGTGTTTGGGGCTATACAAAACCTGTAATTTGCTCACGGTGCCCAAACCTTTTACACAACTACCATATATTTTCCTTAACCTCAGCATTTTTACTCTCAGTGTGTTGCTTTTGTGATCTGCCACAGCCATTATGAGCATTATAATCAAAATCAAGTTGGTGCTGATTAGTTTTATGCCACGTTGCAGTCCATCAATTTCGGCCTCGATGTGAAAGGCACGTTCGTTTTCAAAATATCTGCATTTTGCTCATTTTCCTGCATTTGTTACCCTCTACAATGGTGTGTTGCATTTCCCTGTAATACCAATCCAGGTAGATCTACTCCGAGCCTTTACAGCTTATAAATGTTCAGCATCAGCACCTGGAATAAATCCCATATCGGTGCATCCTTACATACACTACAATAAATATATAGAACAAGAGCGTATAATACAGTGAAAATTAGATGTAAACTGTAACAACAGTGTAGCACAGTGCAAGTGACAGGCAGTCCGTTATAATATATTATTCCAGCAATCTAATGAAGTGGGGACTGTGGACAAACCTGCAAAAGTAGCTGTCATGTTATAAAGTGGCTAGTGTGGTAGGGGGTCTGTAAATGTGCACCTTCTTCATTAAAGATGGAAATAAGGTCAGTTATCAGACGAGAGCGAGAAGACAGAGCACAGCCTGTGACACCAGAATTAGCCTTATGGAAACAGTGCGTTTAACTCAGCGCGCAGCCACATGCATAGAATCTTAATCATCTGGCAAAACATGAACTGAACAGAAAAGATAAGAAAAGAAGACAAAATGTGTTCCTCCTTTCTGCAGCCTTACCTTCCCCTGTGGTCATATCCAGTGTGCTGAAGTGTAGAGCAGGACAGTTAGCGTATGTTTGTAGCACAGTAATTAGCGTGTGCAAAGTGGAAGTGTCGCTCCTTCACTCTGCATTGCTCCTTCTCTCTCTCTCTCTCACTCTCACTCTCTCCTCCCCTCCCTCTGATCTTGTGACTGCGTACACAAAGTGCTAGCGCTCTCCAAAAAAAGGCTGCAGCAGCTCCCTCTAGCCTACTCAACGATTTCACCTCAATTCCATTCCCTCACTCCTGACTCTCTCTCTCTCTCTCTCTCTCTCTCCCTCTGTGTTTCTGTCTCTCATTTGCCCTTAATCCTTCTATTTGACCTACACCACAGAGGAGTCTTTTGTGGACAATTGGTATTCTAGTGAAGTCTGCGTGCTGGCGAGGTCTTTGATGTGTGCAGTGGACTCTCACTTAGCCTTTGTGTCCTGTTTACCTCTAATATCCTACATTTTTTCTTGTATTTTTGTTGCCCTCATGTTCTTGTGGTCTTATGTATCAAGAACAGTGTCAATTCTTTTCCCCATGGCCATTTCCCAACCCAACTTTATCATTTAGAAGTGTTTTTGTTACTGGACAATATTATAGGAAACGCTGTTTTTTAAGTATATGAGTTGCACTATGTAAGTTATGGGAATTTGGAGACCCCTCTGGTGGAAATATGCAATTGCGAGCAACGTGTGAAAGAACATTTTGAAACATTGATTGTGCTTTGAGCCGGATGAATCTGATGATTGTGAGCACGTTGAAAGCATATTTAAAGAGAACTTATTCAAAACTTGGTAAAATATGTATTTTCCGAGTCTGTTAGCAAATTAGCTTCTACCGTCATCGTATTTTCATCAGTATAATGCTATGTTTGCATTTCAGACTTAAACATGGCAGACCTTCTTGTGCCTGTGCATGTGAGATTAATATGTAAAGATGTAAGACGTGGTCAAAAAAACTGACTCTTGACTTCTTTCGATTTTAACAAAAAAACCTTTTTAAAGTTTCAGTCTCTCGATATGTCTATATATAGAAACTTAGTCCATATATGGAAACTAAGCTGCAAAAAACATCCTGTTTTGAATTCATTAAGCAGGCTTGTTATTATTCTATATTTAAAAATTTGCAACGCTACTCCTCCTACACCTTTCAAGCTAGAACCACAAAATTTTGCAGCTTCGTCGAGCCAATACCCAAATAGTTGCTTGGTTAGCGTCTACTCTGTAGCCAAATTTTTTTACACACTTTAGCAGCCACTTGGGATACCACAGCAACAGTCTAGCACCACCTTACCATCCACCTGGAATATGTCAGCAATGACTTAGCAACACATTACCAACCACCTGGGATAGCACAGCAATGGCTTAGCAACACCTTAGTAACCACCTGGGATAGCGCAGCAATGGCTTAGCAACACCTTAAAAGCCACCTGGGATACCACAGCAATGGCTTAGCAACAACTTAGTAACCACCTGGGATAGCACAGCAATGGCTTAACACCTTAATAACCACCTAGGATACCACAGCAATGGCTTAGCAACACCTTAGTAACCACCTGGGATAGCACAGCAATGGCTTAACACCTTAACAACCAACTGGGATACCATACTAACAGTGTTCTGCAACTGCTTTAACTTTTGAAGCATTATTAGCTGCTGGTGTTTTGGCCAGGACTGCTTTTCGAATGAGACAAAATGTACGGTAGACAGAACAGAGATCATTTACGTGTCCCAGTCTTAAATGTATAATAACATATACAGCCTGTTTAATTCTAAGGTTCAAACCGAAGTTGGAAAATTATCATGTAAATATTAATTATGTTTTTAGTGCATAAAACCACACAGATTTTATAAGTGGATCCCAGTACAAAAACAGGCTGTTATTGCAGCAGACTTTCCACACCCTCAAATGTAGCATGGCAGGGTCTAAATTCTTGAGAAACGTATGACATTAGGTCAAAAAAATGAAGTTAACTGATACTTCCTCAAAGAAAGTTACCAAGCTGAGAAGCTCAAGTTGTACAATTTGCACTTCCTTATAAGTCAGATCTGTTTACAGAAGGAAAGTGAATTAAATGTCTAATCTTTCTCCTTCAGCTTCTTATGAAAGTGCAAACCCCAGTGCAGCAGTAATTAGGCTTCTGAAGTTATTGACCAGAGGCAAGTAAAGTGATAAAGAAGCTACAGAGAATGAAAGATAAGAGAAAGACAAAGGCAGCATTAATCACACAAAGCTCAAAGCAGCTGTCTAGTGGAACACACTGCTGACTGTACCAGTCCTCCCAGCTGCTTAATATATGAGAACAGAGCTGAGAAAGCACACAGGCCGTGAATGTCATTCACTCTGACCTGGAACAAAGCTGGTCCTGACTAGAGCTGCACAATATATTGTTTATTAAATGACACAATTCCTCCTATGGTTTTCTTATATTTTTCCCCTAAGATACACTTTTATACTCATTTATGTCATAATTTGTTATTACGTTAACATTTTCCGACCTTTCTTCAATCCTTAGAATTAAACAGGCTGTTTTTTGTTACTGTGCCTTTAAGACTGATATATGTAAATGATCTCTGTACCAATTTGCTGTCCTGTATTATGCCTTGTTATAATTTCAGTGTTATTTGTTATATATGCATTGGTTTCATGACATCACAAGAAGCAATTCATTCCAAACAGGTGGTTTCTGCAGCCTATTTTACATATAGGGACTTCATAGACAGAGGGGTGAGTGGGATGTGAGTGGTCTCTGACTTTTGCACAGTACAGTTTGCCAGAAAAACAAGGACAAATTCAGTACAGATCTTAACAGGACTCCTTGGGGATCTTTTGCCTCTGCTAAGAGTGATTTATTAAGCAGCCATTTAAAAAGCAACAAACAGAACATAACCAGCAAGCAACAGACAATCAATCTGGAATTCTGCAGAGAAACAGATCTGAGACCATATGTGGATCACATTTCTCAGAGTAAGCACTGATAACTTTGGCCATTCTTTTCCAGCCGAATGTGATTACGTGGAGATGAGCTGATGGTCCTAGTTAAAGGAAAACTCCAACATTTTTCTATATCTATCAGTCACGTCTGTATTGTACAGTCGATTACCACAGAATGTAATTTCATTGAGTTTCTTTGTATTTAGAAATAAACAGAAAACCTCAGCTGACTCAACATATGAATAATAGAAGCCATCAGCATCTGTGGCAGCTGACCACACAATACAGAAGCAGCAGACGGAGATTCAACTGAAATATACCGGAGTATTTCTTTAAGCTCTGTTAGGCTGACACGCCCAGACAAGTGTACTCACTCACCTGCGGACAGGATCATGTTCCCTGATCTTTGGACTTCGTCAAATTTGCTAAAAATTACATTCAACCTGAAAGAAAAAAAACAGAAAAGAACAACCTTTCAGCCCTCCCAGTCACACCTAGCATGTGAAAACACTGATCTTCAGTTTGTAAAAGTGAGAACTTGAGTCACATGCAAAAACACAAAAAGGGGAACTTAACTCAGAGGGGCATTTGCAACATAGCTTTGACGCCACATTCAGAAATAACGTTGTCTACAATGCACCTGCGGCTGTTTCAGCTGCAATATCTAAGCACAGTCACACTGAATGAAAGGGTCCAAATGTGTGCTGTACCGTGATTGTGGCAATCCCTTTTTCCCGAGATCCATTCGCACCCTCTCCCCGACATGCCTGTAAATCTCCACAAGGCAGTTCATGGCACCATCTCGAACCTACAGTGGATAAAGAAAATGTATGTGATTTTGCTATTGTACACTGTGATTCGATTTACTGCAAAAATGTTAAATTATAAGGTAACTGATTACACTGATTTTATTAAGTTAATTCAACTTGAGGCTCAAACATCTTAGATTAGCCAAAAGTTCCACTAACTAATATTTCTAAGTAAACAATATATAATTTTGTGTTTTACTCAGTTGTTCCACTAGTTAGGACTCACACAGTCCCACCAGGCATTCCCTCTCAGGCTTCCAGATATGCACAGCTGTGAGATCACTGAAGTTCAAACTCACAAACTCCCGAAGTGTTAGATTATTGCACCATGTTACTACATTAGTGTTTAAAGTTTAAAACAACACATTTGTAAAGTGCTTTAAACATTTAAGAACACTAATCAGAGTAATTTTAGAAGCTTGCAAGTGAGAAGTTACTTAACCACTTGGCTAAACATCCAAGTGCAAAACATGTGCACAGCATAAAAACTTCTACACCCTGAACTACAGGCCTGTAAAAACACATCAGGCATTAAGAATGACAGCTTCCCATTTAAGCCCACTCTGTGAATAACTGCTAATATTTTAAAAAAATACACAGCTGTGAGATCACTGGGGTTTAAACTCACAAACTCCTGACGTGTTAGATCATTGCACCATGTTACTACATTAGTATTTAAAGTTAAAAACAGCACATTTGTAAAGTGCTTTAAACATTTAGGACACTAATCTGAGTAATTTTAGAAGCTTGCAAGTGGTGCTTTTGACTAAGCAGTCAGTCCGGCCAGGAGGTTGTGAGTTTGAAGCCCACTGATGCCACAGCCATCCATTACTGGGAGCCTAAGAAGAGAAAATGCCTGGTGGGACTGTCTGATGGAAAAAGTTCCAGATAGCTGGGTACCTGAGTAAAGAAACTTACTTTCTATATTGTTTAACTACTTGAGATGCAGAACATAAAAATGTTATGAGAACTTCTCCTAGGAGGAGTTCGAAGTAGGGTTGCAACTAATGACTTTCATATTCGATTAGTTGGTCCATTATGATTTCAATTAGCTGAATCTGACATTAATGTTTTATTAAACAAATTAAAAATACATAGATTACTCTCCCTAATAAAAAACAATAAAATACTGGCCCTATCTTCTTATTCATATTTTCTAAAAAGGGTTTTTATCAAGTGCACAGCAACAGAAAGGTGTTTTTGAAAGGTGTACAAATAGCCCTGATAACCGTGTATTAGATCTGTATGATGAATCATATTTTCAATTATTCAACGCGAAAAACACAATGTTAGAGCAGCGATGACACAACAGATCAAACTACATTAGATATTATTACAACACCACCACAAACTGTTAGAATCCTAATGAGTGCTCCTCTGCGCTGGAACTGAACTCTGCTCTCCTGCGTGGGAGAGAAGTTACTGGCTAATTTTATTAATTTGGCTAATCATCCAACCACAAAGTATGTGCACAGCTACAAGCCCTATAAATCCACCCTGTGAATAACAACTAATATAAAAAAAATAGAAAAACGATCATTTTTTTATATTGTTTCAAGAAACAGCCTAAACTGTCCAGGCTGTCGTAATCATGTGACTTCTGACTTCAATCTGGATTAAAATTCATACATCTTGAGGAACACTGTTGAACAGTGTCCCTCAGTGTTTCTTTAATAATCTCTGTATTTTGTGAATAGTATCAAGATTTCTCTTCTTTGTATCACACCATTCTGAAAAATGCTTCTTTGCTAGACCAGCTTTAAAACAACTTTCCCATATATTCAGGATGCTTCTTCCACAGTAACACGATTATCTGAAAACACTGAAGCAGACTACATGTGTGTTTATTGGATGAGATTTCCAGTATTTTTTAAGAAATACAATATTTTTAAACATATTTTACATTCAAAACGCAAGTGGGCTTATACGGCACATACAAAGGGTTGTTCAATCACCACAGTTTTGTATGTATCCCTGCTGAAACACACCTCGTTCAACTCATCAGTTAACTGGTAGATTTAGTGGGTGTGTCTGAGCATGGAAATCACCAAACAGTCTGCTTGACCAGAGAGAATACTCCTCTTGTAGATATTTTTTTACATGCAGTACCTTTAACAACCACTAGGTGGCTCCCAAGACCACGATTTGAAAAATCTTACTTCCGCAAACACTCAAAAAACCCGAACTAAAAAGCACATGCTAAAGTGGGGGTGTGCTCACCTGACTTGTGGGGTCTCCTAGTAGATTACATATGTGGGGTACAATCTTGCTTAAAGTTAAACCTTGAGCTCCATATCTGAAGAAATGAGCAAAGAGGAAAAACAAGAATAAGCAAAATCCTTTTAAAGCAGTTTAATTAAGACGATATAATGGAGACTGGTCAGTACATACATGTTTAATGTGGAAATAAGGCAAAAACAAACAGCTTCTCTGGTCCTGTTGTTCTTGTGTTTGAAACCTCCTAACATTCGGTCCCATACGTACTGCAAAAAAGGTGCAAAGTGAAAGTTTTAAAGCATGATACAGCTCCAATGGATTCCTGCACTACACTGCACACAGTTCAGTGCTGATGAGTCAAAATTGTTCTAACCCTTCAAATTCAACTCATAAACAAATTATGCAGTCCTTCATGAGGTCAGTGTCAGAGACTGACTGACCTGCACAATTTGATTTACAAGAACATGAGTGCATACCTGTGGATTGGCAGCTTGGTCCATTATTTTTAGCAGCAGAGTCTGGGCTTGGTCTCGTACTTGGTCTTTGGCATCACCTAAACGGTCTGTTAAACTAGGCAGGACTGGAGACAAAGAGAGAAAAAGGTCACTTATTCTCCTCCCGTGAACTGCTGCATATAAGCCATCAGCCTGAGAGAAGGTGTGAATGGCTGGTCCTTTATCTCTCAACAGTTGACTACCACACTATTCAGCCAAGAGATTCTATAAACAATGAACGCTAGTCCTTTATCTGCAAAACTGCCCAAAAATATAGTTTAAAACAATCAAAATGATTTTACCTGTTCCAATTTGTGTCTTAAAGCGAGTCTGTAACCTTGTTACTAAAGCTGACACAATGTCCATTCCCAAAAGGGCCACCTGAAAAAGAAAGACATGAAAATAAATAAATAAATAAATACATACATACTTACATACATACACATTATTCAAGTTAAGTGAATAAATTAGGTAAATAAGTAAACAAGTAAGTGAATAATGTAACAAACGTAGTTGTTGCCACAAAAATCCCAAAAATAAATAAAATAATTAATTATATAAATAAAATAAAACAGCCAAAAGTTAAGTTTCCACAACATATGCAAGAAGTAAACACTATTTTTCCACATTTTACTCAATAAACAGGCCAAGAAAGGCTGCTGGACAGTTCAACAACAACATGCAAATTAGGTACAGCAAAGCATCATGGGTAATGCCCAAACTCTGAACTTATTCTCTTTTATTTTAATACTCGTTTGTGGAATTTTAAAAGTAACACCTGAAAACTGTTATTTGTACCATTTAACATGCACTGTATAAAGAAAGATTGAGCAACATGTAAGGTCATTAGTCACCATGATGTATTTTCTAATAGGATTTTATAAGGCGCCCATCCCGACGCGCCCAACCTCAACCTTCCTTGTCTGGGGGTGGATTGGGGTGGTCAATGAACGAATAGTGAGAGCATCCCTGCTGACACCTTACCAACACATCAAGCATCACCTGAGCGTTTCTGTTCAGGCTACGGTGCAATTTTTGGAACCTCCGCCTCGCTTGTAAAAGAAAGAATAATAATATATTTGGAGTAACAGCTCCCTCTAGCGGTACATTCGATTATTGCGCTGACTAAATACCACATTTGGAGGGCACAGTCACAGATCGTCTCACTGGAAGTGAGTCTGCAGTTTGTGCATTGGCTGAACTTACCATGTTAAGTTTTTTTACAAAGCTGGTGGTACATTGTCAATATGATTTTGACACTGATTAGTATGAACAAAGCAGGGGCAGACAGGCACTGGCCACTCAAGCAAGTTGATCTTGTGGCCAGAATAATAGAAACACATTTGTTGTACACTGTATTCACAATGAGCAAAGAATGCTTTAGTTCTAAAACTTCTCAGATGTGTTAAGTTTTGAAAACTGGATTTTTTAAAATTAATAAGACTTAATTAACTTAATTAATAACATTAGATAGTATCCCCTGCTGATCTGGTCCATCCTGTTGTCATCCTGTCTAGGTTACTTCATTGGGTACTGTTAAGCTATTTCAGCGATAGCCTCTTGGTAACACCAGCTTGTTTAACACTGTTTTTATGAAGACCTTTTACACAGAGTGATACTAGCCAACTTCAACCAATACATAATGATGCCAAATGGAGGAACAGCCACAGTCACCACACTGGCATGTTAGCCATTGCAGTGATTACAGTTAACAGCGACAAAATCAGTCTTCCATGACAGAAATCAGTATTCCATGTCCGACCAAACACGTCTGTTAAAAGCAAGAAATAATAATCTCCAGTGGCCTAAGTGTGAAATGTTGTGGCCAGGGGCAAAAGGCAGTGTCGACCCCTCCACACAAGCAGTCTTGATCATAGGCCAGCAGTTCTGTTGAGCTTCCTTTTCCTCCTATGATTGAATGTAGCATTAGCCTGGCTAGCCTGAACTACAGGCCTCATCGCTCACATGGCTGAAAGAGCTGCATCTGTACACCATAAACATTTACAATGCAACACATGCTGCACAGAATGAGCTTGCAACCACGCTTGGACCCTCCTAGCACTTTCGGGCTGCCATAACACTCTGTAAAGTATGTAAAGCAGGGGTGCACAACTCCAGTCCTGGAGGGCCAGTGTCCAGCACCGTTTGGAGGTTTCCCTACTTAAACGCACCCACTAAACCTGCCAATTAACAGATAAATGCAATCAGGTGTGTCTTAGTATGTAAGTCACCAAAGTGTGCTGGACACCAGCCCTCTAGGACCGGAGTTGTACACCCCTGATCTAAAGTATAAAATCTTACATTGTAAAGAGATTTTTACCCTGAATGTACGTATCCTGTACACACACACACACACACACACACATATTATATATATATATATATATATATATATATATATATGTGTGTGTGTGTGTGTGTGTGTCTGTTTGTCTTCTTGCTAAAACACGTCCGTTTGGGGATTAATAAAGTGTTATCTTAGGTTCACTTCCTTAGTTTGAGCTTTGAGGCTAACGTAGCTAACAAGGACTGAAAGCTTATACCTCATCGATTAGCTATCTTTAGCCTAAATCATCACACATTTGCTTCAACCTGTATTGAACTGTTAAGTCATCTCAATTATTTTTGCCCTAAAATGGTCAAAAGTACAGGCTTCAAGCTCGCTCCTGCTAGTGTTTTTAGCAATGTACTTTCATTCATTTATATAGATAATAGTATGTCATACAGTGTAAAACCGCATAAGTTTGTCTATCTGAGAGTATTTACCAACTCAGCATGGTTTGAGGTAAGTGTGTGATGATTTAGGCATTTAAGTTTGCACAATGCTAAAGCATGAGTACACTTGTTAGCTACATTAGCCTTGTAGCTCCAGCACAAGATGCAAACCTCAGACATCAAACATGTCTTGGCTAACTGATTATATTTAGGCCAAAAGGAAAGTCATGTAAATTTGGTGTTCAGTCAAACTATAGCTGTAGCTGCTGCTTGTACTCTTCACAACAACTGATATTTACCCATATTCACATGTTAACAATTAGCATGTGGCTAATCCACCACACCCCCTCCTCCAGTGCCAGTATGTGTGTTGGTTGATGGGTGGGGGTGTGTGTGTGGTAAAATAAGCTGGGGCAGAGCTGCAGCGGGACTCCTGTCCTCATTACAGCATGTGGGGTGATTACTCTCGTTGGAGGCGGCTGGGTTTCCAGGCCAGCTGTGGAAGAAGAGCTCTGATTGGCGGGTTCAGCTCAGGCGTTTTGAGACAGGTTCTACGAAATGAGGACTGAATGCCTCAAAAGGGAGGTGACTGCAACTGATACCTTCACTTTACAGTGTGATTCAGCCTCGACGGCCTAACATGGGGCTTTTTATCATCAGGTTCAATCTGCAAATCAGCAAAATACATTACCATTCAGAAGTTTACAATATTTTCAGTAACATAAAACCATGTTGGTTGCAGAATACATGCCCAAGGCCCTGTAGAAACCAGCTCACCCAACGTTTCTTCAGAAATGAAAGGTATTAATAGGGAGTCTGTTGCTCTTTTGCTGCAGTAACAGCCTCTTCTTTTCTGGAAATGCTTTGGACTACATGTTGGAAGGTTGCTGTGAGGATCTGATTGCTGCCTGTAAGAGCATTACTGAGGTCAGATACAGATGTTGGGTGATTAGATCTGGATCACTACAGCATTGAGCTCCATCACTCCAGAAAATACAGTTTCTCTTCACAGCCCAATGCTGGGGGGCTTTATATCCCTCTAGCCTACACTTGGCACTGGGTGTGGTGATCTCAGGCTCATGTATGGCTGCCCCTCAGCATGCTATTCTATTGGCAAAGCTTTCTATGGAGATTATATAAGTGATCTTGTTGTTCACAAAATGCTATCTAAAATTTCTTTTGGTCTAGTTCAGGGGTCGGCAACCCAAATATTAAGAAGAGCCATTTTATCCCGTTTCAACAAAAATCAAAACACCAAGGGAACCACGGCATTTAATGCTCATTTTACTGAAGTACGATTTTGGCTGTAAATATGTCTCAGTATGTGCTAATGTATTTCTACAGGCCAAAAAATATAATATAAATGAAATTGCAGACTTACTTTTCTCTGCTTTAAGCTTTAGCTCAGCTATAGCTGCTTTTCTCGCATCTCTGACAGGAACTTTTTCCTCAAAACTAAACTAGCTTCTACTAAAATGTCACTCAACTTTCAACTTTTTATTAGGCTTAAGTCAGCTCCTCATTTGCCCGTCTCTGGTTTGAATTTTCCCGTTCCACCTTAAAACGGTGCCTGAGGCACTAGAATGTAGCTAACTGCTGCACCATTTAAGGTGTATCAGGAAAATCTGAATAAGGAGCTGGTGAACGAGGACTTCAGCAACTTTTTAGTGTTTGACCGTTTCTCTTGCAGATTAAACGTACCAGGAAAGCAGCTGGAGTGATTATAAATGCAAATAAGTCTGTCCCTTTATCTCTAAATTGTCAATGTTCATCTTAAATCTTTGTCTTTGCCATTTCATTAGCTACTAGCTAGGCAAGACTGTTGTCTGCGCTCCTATGTGACCAGCAGTCTGTGCACCAGTCTTCAGGGTTAAAGGGTGAATTAGCAGTTCTACAATAACTCCAGTGTTTAGGACCATTTACTGTTAAAACTGTGTTGAATGATCAGCAGAGCTTTATTTTACTGCAAAGGAGGATTATTTTATTTTTACATACAAATCTATTTCTGCTTTGGAACCTCAAGAGAGCAGTAAAAGAGCCGCATGTGGCTCCTGAGCAGCATGTTGCCGACCCCTGGTCTAGTTTATAATATTTTAGTCTACACTGTATATGTTATTACTATACATAAATAACAAAAAGCTATTAATATGACAAGTTATTCAAAACTTCAGAAAGGCAGTGTATCTCAGGCAAGCAGTAACATGTAAATATGAATGTTCATTTTACAAAACAGGGCATGTTTAAGGCTGTGCTGTAATTAAAAAAACTCATCCAGGCTTTTACTTGGGTTCAACCGCAGTCATTATACGGCAGGCTTTCCCCTGCAAATCCTACCATGGTACACAGAGCAGCTGCAGCCAGAGAACTAAGCACACACACACACACACACACACACACACACACACACACACACACACACACACACACACACCATACACAAGGATAGGTCCGAACAGATAAAGCATTACACAACATCTAAGTCAAACTTTGCACACTGCATACAAACCATCAGAGTTGTGAAATAAACTCAAAGTTAAAACCATAAAATAAAAAGTGTTTATAAAATTCGTCCAAATTAAGTGTACTTTTCTCCATATACAACTTTACACACAATATGGTGTATGCCCTACCTCTAAGTAAGGCTATTACTCTGCTGGAAAAAGCATGCATTCTAAGATGGTCTAAGCTGGTTTGTGCTAGTCTGGTGCTGGATTAGCTGGTCACCTTGCATGGTCATGCTGGTTGACCAGTGTACCAGCATCTAAAACACAACGCACACTGGTTTTGGTGGTGACAAGATATGCTCGTCTACAGTGCTTGTCCAACAGGGTAATCATAAATCAGCAAGCTGAATTTGGAGAAAGCAACTTTATCATAAAACACATCGCTAGCTGGTTCTGGATCTGATTAGCTAAACCACATTCGAAGCCACTGTGAAATATGTTACATACACATATATGAGTGTACATAACAACTGAATTCTGTATTAATGAACTGAGACATTAAAAAGTTTTCCTTCTTTAAACCACAGAATGCAGCATTGAGATGTAGGGCCAAGCACAAGCCTGTATATGAAGCAAACAGCCCAGAAACTTTATTAAACCCAAGAACCCAGTTTTGTTTAAACCAAAAGGTTGACAACAATACAGATATACGCCGAAGTCTGAATGTTTCATAAAAATAAGATAACACAAATATGAGATTTTTCTGCAACCTTTACGGTCCAATTTGTCTTTTTTGCTGAGTTCAATATATTGAAAAAATATAAAATATAAAATCTGTCCTAACCTTTGCACAGGCCAAATCTGATGTTTCATTTTCCCCCCAA